AATTCATTGTGATACATGGGGTGCTTATAGAGTACCTGCTTCTTGTGGTGCCGTTTACTTTCTAACCATTGTTGATAATTATTCTCGTGCTGTGTGGGTTTACCTRTTACTTGAAAAAAGTGAAGTAGCACATATTGTTGAGAACTTCTGTGCCATGGCAGAACGTCAATTTGGCAAACAAGTCAGAACTGTTTGAAGTGATAATGGAATAGAGTTTAAAAGCCTGAAATCGTACTTTGAAACTCATGGCATTCTGCATCAAACTTCCTATGTTGGAACGCCACAACAGAATGGTCGAGTGGAGAGAAAGCATAGGCATATTTTGAATGTTGCGAGAGCATTGAGGTTTCAAGCAGGTTTGCCTATTCGTTTTTGGGGAGAGTGTGTCTTGATTGCCGGATACTTGATAAATAGGACACATTCCGTACTTGACGGGAAGACTCCGTATAAGGTACTGTTCGGGACGACACCTCGGTACAAGCAAATGAGAGTGTTTGGTTGTCTCTGCTATGCCCGTTGGAGCCCTCGAGATAAGGATAAGTTTAGAGCGAGGAGTAAGAAATGCGTTTTTGTAGGCTATCCCTACGAGAAGAAAGGTTGGCGCGTATATGATGTTGAGAGCGGTGAATATTTCGTCTCCCGCGATGTAGTCTTCCATGAAGATATATTTCCATATGCCGATGATTTAGAAGTACCTCTTGAAAACAACCCTAGCTTGGCAATTGCGGCTATAGTTGATGATGATGTTAATCACAACCACAGAGGAAATAAAAATAGGGGGAGTGACGAAGAGGATATCTGTGCGAATGATAGGGAGAGCTTTCAACATACTAATAGAAGAGAGAGGAGCAAGGCAATGGAGGGGATGTGCAGGAAGTGGAAGCTAATGGCGGTGAGGACAGAATTAGTGTGAATCCAGCACCACAAACAACACCAGAAGAGCAACTTGGCAGGGGACATCGACATCGCACACCTTCTGTTTTATTAAAGCCCTATGTAACCTACACTACTCGATGTCTGAAAGACCCCATTCGCACTCAAGCCAACTCTGAATCAAGGTCCTCAGGTATGACTCCCTATCCCATAGCAAATTATATGACATGTACTAACTTCTCCGCTAAACATCAAGCTTTCTTAGCTGCGGTCACTGCAGGAGCCGAGCCTACCAGTTTTTCTGAGGCAGTAAAAAGTGAGCAATGGAGAGAAGCTATGAGGAAGGAAATCCAGGCT